TGCATATGACCGAGCAAAGCGAACAAATTTAACCGAACATTGGTCAATATATAAACAAAAACGTAATAAAACTATCCAACTTATCCGACAAGCAAAGCAGACTCATCTCAATAAACTTGCAGATTCCTTAAAAAACACTTGTGAATTAGACAAAAATTTCTGGCAAACTATAAAACAGTTCATTAAGCCGAATAACACGAATACAGGTATTCCTACACTCAAAGACGCATCACGTATATATGAAACCAACACGGAAAAAGCCAATGCACTCAATAACTTCTTTCAAGCACAAACCAAACTTAGTGAAGATAATAAACAGTTACCTAATACATTTCAAAACGCCGACTCGCCACAATTAAGCACCATCAACATAACGCCGTCTGAAGTTACTGATGCTCTCCGTCTTCTCAAAATAGGTAAAGCTACAGGTCCAGATGCTATAAATAACATTGTCCTTCGTGAAGCAGCTGTTGAACTGTCAGTCCCACTATGCACCCTTTTCAATTTCTCCTTAAGTAAAGGCAAAATCCCCACACAATGGAAACTTGCACATGTTTGTCCAGTGTACAAAAAAATGACCCTCAAGATGTGTGTAATTATAGACCTATCTCTCTTCTCAGTGCTCTCAGCAAAGCTCTTGAACGCATCATACATAAGCATATCTTCAACTTTTACAAGGATCTAAACTTTTTCTGCCCTTTCCAATCAGGTTTTATTCCTAAAGACTCAACTGTTAATCAAATTACGTCTATATATCACTCTTTCTGTGAAGCTTTAGATGAAGGCAAGGAAGTTTGAGCTGTATTCTGCGACATATCCAAAGCCTTTGACAGAGTCTGGCATCGTGGTCTTCTTTACAAACTCCGAGTAAGTGGTATTTCAGGTAAATTATTGGCATGGTTCCAGGACTATCTGTCGGGTAGAAAACAGTATGTTGTTCTGTCTGGTGTATATTCTGATACTGTCGAAATTTCTGCGGGAGTTCCCCAAGGATCCATACTCTCCTGTTTCTAGTCTATATCAATGACATAGTTTCCGATATATCATCTCCAATCCGACTATTTGCCGATGACACTACACTTTATATTATTGTTGATAACCCTCTCGATGCTGCTAATGAACTAAATGCAAATTTGCGTAAAATCTCCTCTTGGGCTGATCAGTGGCTGGTAACTTTTAATCCGTCAAAAACAGAATCCCTGATTATTTCACGAAAGAGATTTAAACCCGCACACCCCCCAATTGTTTTCAACAACACACAAATAATTAATGTTACAAATCACAAGCATCTTGGAATTACTTTTTCTAATGATGGCTCATGGAGTACCCATATAATGGATATAAAACACAAAGCTTGGCAAAGAGTTAACGTTTTAAGATCATTCAAATTTACTCTTGATCGAAAATCACTTGAAATTGTTTATATGTCCTTCATTCGCCCGATTCTTGAATACGCGGATGTAGTGTGGGACAATATCACTGTAGCAGAGGCTGAGGAACTAGAGAGTATACAAATAGAGGCAGCAAGAATTATCACAGGAGCAACACAATTGGTTTCATTCGCAAAACTTTACAAAGAATCTTCTCTTGAACCTCTCAGAGATCGAAGACTGAAACATAAACTTATTCTTCTTTATAAAATGATACATTTAGAAACACCCCCTTTTCTATCGGACCTCATCCCACCTGTTGTTGGAAACACTACCTCTTACAGCCTTCGGAACTCGGATCATTTGCGAAACATACATTGCAATACACAGCTTTTTTCTAAATCTTTCTTACCGTCAACTATCTCTTCTTGGAACTCTCTTCCGTCTGACATACAAAATGCCACGTCTGTATCGGCCTTTAAACAAGCTCTGAACAAGAACATATCAAAAACACCCTCCTTCTACTATATAGTTAGCTATTCAACACGCACGCCTTCGCATGCATTGTAGCTCACTAAAGGAACATCTTTACTCAAAAAACATTATAGACTCAGCAGCGTGTGCTTGTGGCGGAGTTGAGGATACAGATCATTTTCTCTTACACTGTCCGATTTATACAAACCAAAGAGCGGATCTTCTCTGTAATATTTCACCAATTTACTCAGTAAATTTGGATATCCTTCTTTTTGGCGATGAATCCTTGGACAATGACACTAACTCATTTATTTTCACACAGGTACAAAATTACATTTTTCGCACAGGTCGTTTCAAGTGATAAAAATCCCACTTAGACATGGACTTGACCCTTGACCCTTTTATTTTCTTTCATAAGTTCTTTGTTAAATATTAATTTCTGAACTGTATATTCCCCTGACTCTTTTAAGTTTCAATTACACTTTATTTTACCAACTAACAATTTATTTTTTATCTATATATATATCTTTTTTCTCTGTAGTTTTCTCAGAAATATTATTACATATTTATTATTACACCATCATGGCAGCTTAGCACGATAGTCGTAGCGAGGCTTAGCATAAGCTTTTAGCTTTCTCCTCTATTCTGATAGTTTACATGTTTAGTACACCTAATAATTTCTGTATACATTTTAGTTTAGTTTTAATGTAAAATCGCTCTGTAATTATTCTTGTGTACTTTGTATGATATATTATGTAATCAATTTATTGAAAATAAATATTGTTTAAACCAAACCTCTTTATATATCTTTGTGAATGTCAATATTCATGCTTGCAATTTGCTGCATTATTTAGTAAATTTTATGTAATTCATATTACATGTATTTTGATTTGACATGTATTAAGACAAAGCTGCTATAAATATACAGGTAATAAGATAAGGCTGTTATATAGGTACATGTAATAAGATAAGGCTGTTATATATGTACAGGAAATAAGACAAGGATGTTATATTGGTGCATGTAATAAGACAAGGCTGTTCTATAGATACATGTAATAAGACAAGGCTGTTCTATAGGTACATGTTATAAGACTAAGCTGTTATATAGATACATGTAATAAGACAAAGCTGTTATATTGGTACATGTAATAAGACAAATCTGTAATATAGATACATGTAATAAGACAAAGCTTTTATATTGGTACATGCAATAAGACAAAGCTGTTATATTGGTACATGTAATAAGACAAAGTTGTTATATAGATACCTGTAATAAGACAGAATGCTGTTATAGAGGTACATGTAATTAGGTGCAATAAGTAGGAATTTATACGTTACTACGAGTATGTTATCATATAAACTAAATAAACAAGCCACACAAACATGTTATTATATTAGTATGTCGGTGATGTTGTGATGCTAAAGGCAAATGAAAAAAATATGTTATGATAAACTGCTCTGTGCTATATTATTTTATTTAGTTAACAAAGATTGTGGATGGAAAAATTAAAACGCGAATCCACCAAAGTGAAAGATGTTGTCTCTGTATCGTATAAATTGCACCAACTTACAAAAAAATGGCATATACCTAAATTATTCGTTTATCTAAATTATTCATGTCTCCATGTATATGAAACTAATGTATTGTTAAACATGTTAAAGCGTACGCGTGAAATGAACGATTATAAAATGTAATTTTATGAGATATGAGCAATTTATTTAATTTTATAAACAGATCGTGAATATCTGATCATTATTCCTTCATTAAACCTACATAATTTTCGTTATGTTTAACTGTTCACGGCTGACTTGACTCGCAATGTTTGGAAATAAATTGAATTGATAAATGAATACAATTTTCTAAGAGATTAAGGATGAAGTATATAAAACCTATGTATACAGGCACTGGTTGTTTTTTGTGAAAATTTAAAAATATTTTTTTTTTTTTTTTTTTTTTTTTTTTTGTAAATCGTTAAGACTAACGATTTAATAACATCATTAATCTAGTCAATGTGTTGAATAATGTTCAGACTGAAATATCTATTTATATGGAAATCGCTGTAATATTCTTACAATAACTAGATTTGTGTTCATATAAATAGACAAATTACTTTGTTTTGCGTCCAGATTTGCCAATAGTACAATATAAGGATTGTTTCTTTCAGCGTTGCCAATTTGATTTCATTTTAGAAAGATAAATCGCATTTCCATTGCATTAAGTATGTCAGTATATATTATACACAAATGTTAAAAATAAAGTTAGGTTTCAAGAATATTAAACAATACTTGGCACTTATCTAGACAGGGAATTCCAAAATTTTTAACTCTGATGTTTATGACATGAAATTAAGAAATTTCTTTTAATATTTTTAACTTAATCTATTTGTTTTATTTTTAAACAGTAAACAATTCATGTTATTTTATATACAACATTCTTTGTACTATCGGATATTATCTTGTAAGTTTTTTATTTTATTGGGGCGGTCACATTTCTACGGTGCCCCTAGTGTGACATTTTCCACACTTTTTCCCCCGTACGGATTAAGTAGGAAGCTTAGAAACTCGCTCTGTAACCAGTATTTTACAAATTTTATATAAATGTTAACAAAATATGCAATATAGACACTAAACTATACATATCATTTCGACTTGTACTTGCTGTCTTACGTTTATAATAAGTAAATTCATTAATCATAACTGTTCGTTTTGAGGCATATACACAAATTAACAAGAATTTAATTTAAACAATGAATACTTTTCTTACTTTGGCGTTTAATCTATTTAACAAGTTTGTTAGAAAATTGACGATGAAAATAAATCAATAACTAGAACATGTAGATTAATAAAGTAGTAAAATAGGAAGGAAGAGAAAGAAAGAGTCAATATATTTGTTGTTGCTTATTTTGCTGTTGCTGCTGTTGTCGTTGCTAATTGCCATTGCTATCAATGATAAAATTCATCGAAACAGCTCAAAATCACGATTTATTTTTTCATCTTGTAATACATTATATCATATTATTAATATAACATGGTTTGTAAAATAACAATGTAGTTGTTGCAACATTCCCAATGCAATTGATTTTCATTAATGCTCCCTGCTGCTTCTAAAAACGGTATGTCTGCAGTTAACTGTTATCAGTTTTCAACAGGCTCTGGTGTATTTCCTTTAATTATTCTATCAATCCTTCAGTGTCATTGATCAGAGCTTTTCTTATCTGTCCTCCTGGAATTTCATTCTAGCGCTGACAGGATTGATCTTGTGAGTATAACCGAAAAAGAGATATACACGAGTTTTGTGTACTACATATACATTCACATAGTAAAATAATATATAAAATGAAAATAAATTTTATGATTGGATTTTGTGTAAGTATGTGCATGTAAATGAATGCTCAGTGGATGTTTTAAAACTAATTAAAATAATTATGGATGATAATCAAGACAAAGTAGAGATGACGAACTTGGTATCGCCGCATTCCAACGTTGGCAATGACCATTTGCGAGACGGCGGACCACATGAAAATCAAGCCTTGAATTTACCTTCGCCGCCATCTAATTCGTATGGAAGCACACTAGGTGGAAGCATGCTTAGTATAAATCCTGAGGCTTCAACTGTTAATTTGTTGAAGATTGACCTGGAGAAGAAAATAGATCGCCATACCGGTGAGGAACGTGATATGTGGGACAGTAGAGCGGAATTTCTCCTATCTTTGATCGGGTACGCAGTTGGCCTTGGAAACGTTTGGAGATTTCCTTATCTTACTCAAAAGAATGGCGGAGGTAAGATATTATATGTTAAAGACATACTTGGTATTTAAGACACAAAGGTTCACTTGTTATTTAACATTTCGAAAGAGTACTCTTCATTTAACAAAAATAATTAAAGAATTTGCCTCTCTCAAATGTAAGGATTCATTTAAATTAAGAAAATTGATTTTCACAGCAGATTAATTTCATTTTGGTATGTGTTGCAGGATCTTCTTAATCATTTTAATACTAAATTAAAACGTGAAAACATATTGGTTTTTATTAGTTTCAGGAGCCCAGAAATAATAGAAAATATAATTAAGAATAAGTTAACGAATTTTTTACTTACATTCAATAGAAACTATAAATCATTTTATTTAAAGTATTTATGGATCACAATTATAGAAAAAAGTAAGGCTAATTCATCACTGTGAGCAGCTACAGAAATTCCTTTCGCGGACTTTCCAATTTGTATATGTATATATATTTCATTTAAATAACATCAAGATATACATCATTTATAATAAATAATATAAAGGCTTGTAACGATATAGGCATAATCCACTTTTTAGATAACTGTTTTCAAAATAATATAGCAAATGGTCAGCAACTGACCTCTAATAAATCACAAAACCTATATATTATATATTAGGTTAAAAATAAATTTTATTTAATGTTACATTTTAGACATAATGTCAATTAGGGTTTATTGTATTGTAAAAACACAGACTGTATACGACCTGAAAACTGTACGTTTAGTTTTGGCTGCATTTTTTATCAATCCTGAAATATTATTTGAATGGACGTTAAACTGACAATATATACATTAACTAATATGTCATAGAATTCAATGTTCATGTCAGGTAAATAATTATCATTTTAAAACTAGTTTAGTGTAGGCTACCTACAGTAAAATTTGGATATGAAAACAAAAACAAAAATTTGCATTCTAAGCTTTTCTGAAATTTATTCGTCTTGATGATGCTTTGCTACTGCTAAAAGTTTGTAACGCCACTGAAAAAGCGTTGTGTACACAATGGCGAACAGAACCATAATATCAAAGAAATCCTCCCTTGTGGTTTAACTAATTAGGAATATTTTAGCGTAATAAGCAGCATATGGCATAGAGATAGTCTCAAACAACAATGTTCTTGAAAGTCGTTGTTGTTGTTGTTGTTGTTGTTGTTGTTGTTGTTGTTGTTGTTGTTCACAATTTTATTATCGAAAATGTATTGTTTGGTTGCTGCCAAATCTCTATCACTGATAGAATGACAAGTATTCAATGTTATTTTTAGCTTATATGAAAGGATAGAGCATTCAGCTGTTTGCCTCATTAAAGTTGACAAAAACATCTACTTCAGAAATAATCCTATCAGAGGTCAAACAATACAGTTGTTCTGAGAAGTATACTCAAATCAAATGTCTAATTTCCGTCTGTGATTGATGTCCGGATAAATACGTTGTCGACCTTTTGTTTGTTCAGTTTGTCAATAATTTCCAGGTCTATTTTTGTTAACGTAATAAAAGTTACAAATATTCCGACATATAAATATCGTGCTGCTAAACGTTAGGTTTCATCGACATAGTTTATAATAGTGTATACTATTATCACTTAAAAGATATAAAAAATAAAAAGATGTAATACATATAACCGAATGCATAAACAATACACTTAATGGAAAGGAAGTTAAAACATCCACTAATCTTAGGAAATGGCCATTTTTTTTTAAAAAAGAAATCGATGGTTTATAATATCCCGGTGGTAGGATTGATCTTTTCCAACAATAAAAGAATATATATTGCAATCAGAAAGGTGTCAGAAAGGTGTGCATTGTTTTGATATCAAAATATGAAATAACCTATATTTTTCTTATGAATTTATATTTATTATGGAAATGTCCACAATCTAGTCACCATTGCTTTTTTAAAAAATATAAAACAACAAGCTTTTGAACAATTAGAAGACTCACACAAACTCAGTGTGTTTACCGTTTTGATGGTAATTCATTTTTTAAACATGATATATTTTCATGTGGCCTATTAAACAAGATGATACGTTTATGAAAAACATGATATTATTTTGGCAATTATTATCTTAACGTAAAACTGGAGAAAAAGGGATTATTTCATAAAGTTTAAATCGTCTTTGGAGGGTAATAACTAGTAAGGAATTATAGAATAAACTTTCACTATTTCTTAAAATATCATACATATACTAAATGTGTTTCTCCAAATTTATCGGAAATATAATTTATGAAAAGCTTTGAGCAAAGTTCAACACATATGATCTTGTCAAACTTTTTTATATTTCCACTAATAATAAGACTATTGGTGTTCTTGGTCTCAAGTGCTTTATCGCGTGTCTCAGCATCAGTTATTTGATAACTATCATAGACAATTACCTTAATGAAACGTAGACCTCTATAGACTGATTAGTTAGGTTTTTGTTTTCATAAACATATTTTTATAATAAGATAATAAAGCTTTTCTTGAATATAGCATGGTTATTTGTTTCTGGCATAATGCTTTACTGAGTTTATATTCATAAGCATGGTCTGAATTGATATTCTTAAGTAAAATGCTGGTTCACGTGACTGGTAAAGTAGAAGAAATGGTTATGTGTGTTAATTAGATAACCTCGTATCATGACATCGATTAACTTCCATTTATCTAAGTTCGTGCTATTTTCTCGATATGTGAAAAAGTAATAATGTTTTATTACAAAACAAAATCGTGACCAGATTTCTTAGTGTGTAACTGTACTAGCTTTGAATGGCTATATGAGCTAAATTTATAGTGCAATGTAACACATTTCTATTATATTCAAAAGAAAGCCTGTTGATCTACCATATAATTTTTTATATGTATACAAATGTGTTCAGATGTATTACCGAAATAAAAGAAAGAAACTAAAACTAAACTAAAAAATGTTTGATTGCTTTAGTGTTATAGGCTGCCAAGAGTGAATTCCCATGACATCAATTGTGAGGCAATTTTAACTTCATGTATATGATTTAAAGATTTAACATTTGCAGAGATGCATTGAGCTATACTTTTGGTCTTTAATATGCAAGAAGAAAATTGTTACAAATTTGACATTATCATAATGGCGCTGCTATTTTACCAATAATTGTCAATGTACCTTGATTTATGGAACTTTGTATCGGTCTACCAAACTGTGATGCATACGAAATAGATACTCTATATGCTTTAGAGTTTATCAAATATCTTGGCTCTGAGCGTTTTAGCTTCACAACAAAATTTTCGCATTTGATAAACTTAAACAAATGCATATCAGGACTGGGACTGGCCACTTACGTAGCAATGTAAAACGCCGTTTCCAGTGTCTTTCGTTGTTTACAAAATCATTATAAAGGGCTGGTTATTACAATCACTAACAAAGTGGGGTATGTTTATACTTTGAGAAGCAACTTTAGTTATCAACTCTGTATCTATACTCAATGTATTTTTTAATAATGCATTTTACACAGTATATGTATTCTATTGAAATTATTAACAAGAATCACTACACTAAATAACTTAAATTAAAGTGTAGTAGTAGTAGTAGTAGTAGTAGTAGTAGTAGAAGATTTTTGTAATGTTTTTCGCATATGTGTGTAAATGTGAAAGTGACCCGCTGGTGCATTACTGCTTAATACGATTTACTCATCTGTAGGAAAAACAGTATGTTTAAGATCTAGGCGCAGTGCTAAGACGTTGCAGACAAGTACATAGATTTATTCTTTTTTAAGATGATAATTTTTAAATACTCTCAGGCAAATTTTCACTAGCCATATACATTTTACCAGTAGATCAGTGAATTCGAATAAAAACATTTTTTCATATGTCGATTAAAAATAGCATCAAATATGCTAAATATCAAACAGTATCTTGTTTACGAAATTTGCACTTAAATGAGGTTTATTATGATATATTTTAGAAAGATTTTTACACCCTTCTGTTTCTTTTGAAAACATGTTATACCTTTATGAAGCATTTATCGTACAAGACTCGGGCATATAACATGCTTAAAGTAAACGTATATTTGATTATTCATCCATACATTTATTTTATTTCTTTATTATTTAGTTTTCATTATCCCTTGAACAGTTTTCATAAAATATTGAAATAATAGAAAAAATAACTCAAGATGTAGAATAAGTTAATGTTGATACAAACTCAAACATACATCTGTGTTCATACTTTACTGCTATTGTTTTAATTAATATCATACCAGATGAAATAATTGTACATACTTTTTTTCTTCTTTTTTTTTAAGATTATTTTTCTTCAACATCATATTCTAATAATTGGAACAATCTATCTCAAATATTAATATAAATTTTGCTGTCTCATTGTGATAATTATGAAATTTTAATTCGCAAGTTTAAAAAGTAACATGTATTCTAAGCATTTAGTCTTGTTCTTAACTTTTGAATGTAAATGTTTATGATAATTTAAAATAGCCAAATTGAATATTAACAATATACTTTTTCTGGCCAGTCGAGATTTTTTATTACAATACATGTATTTGCAAATTAGATTGTCACTAACGAAAAGACTGCATAACTCAAAACATTGCTTTGTTTTCAGTACAGTTTTTAGGGACATCCTAGAATTCTTCATTTACAACAGTGGAAGTGAAATGTTGTGTGACAACTGAAAAAGCACTTTATGTCAGTGTATTTTTCTGGTCCTTCGGGATCATTGATAACAATAATTTTAAAGTTGAAGATTGGATACCGCTCAAGCCAGTGATAGATGGCGATACAAGTTTGAACATAACATTGTTTACAATGAAAAAACTCATAAAAAACAATCTTGCAATTGTAAACAATTTGTTTTTGTTCCCATTGCTATCTAAGGACTCCTCGTGTTCGTATTTTAATTCTTGGTGATCTTTTTCTAATCTATATGACAATTTGTTGAGTTATCCATTTATTTTTTAATTTTTATTCTCGATAATCTCTTTCGTTTTTACGACAAATTGTTATCCATTTATTATAGTGAAACTGTGTGCTTTCATTATGATT